AGTCACAGATCGTCACTGTGAAAAGGACCACCAAATCCAAGATCATTGTCGTCGAACAAGATATTCCGAAAACACATCCCTTATGCTCCGAACCCAAGATTAGAGTAAATGAGAAATATATTGGGACAGAGAAGAAACTATGTAGATACTTTTTGTGAGCGATTGGCCTGATTAACGGCACAGACAGTCATGATGCACTTGGGTGTGAAAAGGAGTGTCGCTACACTGTACCTGTGTGCAAGATGTCACAACTTGCTGCCCCGCTATTGTACGCCGAAGTCCGGTCCACTCTCGGCAATGTCCGGCATGGATTTGGTCAGATCGAGGCCCACTTCATAGCGGCCTGGTGACTAGTCACATCCTTCTGCACGAGCCCCTCAGCTGTGTTTTCGTTCTCTCCGTTCCTTGAGGGAAGCTAGTTTCGACTATTGCACAAGCCAGTATTTATGGCAGATGCTGACACAGCGCGGCTGTGTGAACTCATCATTCGATCACACTTTGGTTCTCTCACGGCGGTATGTGTTCAAACTTGAATACGATGTGATTACTCAGTGTTCGTGCTATGTAGATTGTCGCTTCAGTTCTTTTAACTCGTGGACGGCTCCCCTTATCACATCTTATTCGGTTTTCCGGTTTAAAACCGCGAACTGTGCGTGCGGCGATCCTGGTGCTTGTTCAGCACAATTTGCTATGGCATGCTCAGTCGGACGATGATGGGGAAGTTCTGGAAGTCAATATTACTGAATGCTTGCTGAGGCTGCGTTTTGGGCGATATGTTCACCAAGCAGAACAGCTTTTTGGGAAGGCGGTGCGGATCTTAATTGAACGACACTTTGTGGGGTAATTCACCAGTTTCTTGCAGGGTGCGGACATTATTCAACTCATTTTGGATCATGGAAAAATGCGTCCTCCAGACCTCATCTCCCGTCTTTCAGTATATGATCCCGTCGAAGGTAAAGTGTCATAGACTGGGAGATATCTACACTCTGATCTTATTTCCCGACACAGCTCCTGCCATGTATTCGCAGATGTTGCGCAAACTAATTGGAAGCTCCTATTTGAAGCCTTCAACCCTGCTATCGCACTTTTCGCCAAGAGACAAGCGCATCAAATATGAAGCTGAGGAGAAAGCTAAGATCTCAGGTTTCCCTACGGCTAAAGAACTCCGACAAGCGAAAGAAACCGCTCAAGCTCGGCTTAAGCGAGAAGAAGAAGCACCGGAACAAACCTCCATGGTGAGTTCCCCGTATCCTGCTATGCAGTCGCTCAATTTGTGTCCATATGTACAGGACGAGACGTACTTCCGGATCAATTGTGAGAAGTTCAATATCCATATCCGCAATAATGTCGGTACTCCCCGCGGTTAAATATCAATCTTGCTGAATTTGATGTCTCCAGTTGATAGAGCATGCTGCTGTTGAACGATTCAACGAGACCACGGGTCTAGTTTTGCGAGCTGTACTCAAAAGTACAGAAGCTAAACAAAAACAACTCGCAGACACTCGATCAGGTAACAGTATGCTGCAAACACTATTGATTTGTTGTTTACTTTTTGGATCAGATCCGACCTCCATCGCTAATGTTGCCATGCAATTACCGGAGGAGGTTGACTTGTCGACCGGACTGATTTTGCAATTATCGAAAAAACCCTCTGCCGCCGCCCTGATCAAGGATTATCTAGGACTACTCGCTTCCGCCGATAATCCAACTCCGGCAGGGCGAGCAGCTTCATTCGTCTCTATGAATGGTTCGAAAGTGCAAGTCGAATTCGACATAATTGCACGACGGTTACAGAGGCGCGTGTTAGAAGCCATCACGAGAGAGCGACATGGGGACGACGGTGTCAGGATTGTGAGATTGTTACTGGACACTGGGAAAATGGATGAAAAACAGGTCAGTCTTCACGAAATCGAATTGGTTAGGATGAGACAAATAGCAAGATCCACAGATATCCAAGATCGGCATGATGGCTAACAAGGATGTTCGCCCCCTTCTCTCCGCATTGTCCGCAGATTCCTTGATTAGCCTTCAAGAGGTACCGAAGAGTGCGGATAGGAATCCTACAAGAACATTCTATCTCTGGTGTGTCAATCATGCAATCTCGCTGGAATGGGGCGCCGCTGACGTCACTGCAGGTATGTCGACCTCCAAAAGGCCCGTTCTGTTCTTCTGGACAACTTGTACAAGACCTTGTATAACATCCTGTTCCGGAAGCAAGCCGAAGAAGAAGAGTCCAACGTGAAGGCTGTTCTTGAGAAGCGCCAGCGCAGCGATGTCAGCCAGGATGAAGAACGGCTACTGACTAGAATCGAGCGCGAGACACTTGTGGATTGGGAGAAACGCAGAGACAAGTTGACCGTACTCGAGATGCGCATCGAGGAAGCTGTTTTTATTATACATGATCTTGGCGCGCTCTCAAACAGTGATGAGTGAGACTACAAACATGCCGCGTCTTACCACCATTGAGATGGGCTGCAAGTTCTTGCCAGTGTCGTGATGAGGTGCGTGCTCACTGCTAGAGATCTGGTGTCCGGGACAAGATCCTCAAACACGCGATTTATGCACCGTCGTGCGCACGGTGAAGTGTCTGGCTGTGCAAGCGAGCGAATCTCGAGGCTCGAGCACGGACCAGGCGAGGAGCCTGCTGACGCGGAAATAAGGTTTGCATTCAACGGAACGCGTCAAAATACACACGTGACACGCGACGCGTCGAACCCTATAAGAACGCGGACCCAGTTACACGGATCCCCTCCTCCTAACCGCGAATTGTTGATTTCTCCCCTCTCGAAGAGTCTCAGAGTACTACGATGGTTTCTGCAGCCGTTACCAAATCCACTAAACCTATCAGGTCTAAGTCGAAGACTGCCAAGTTGGGTAGCAAGACTACCAGCGCCAAGGCGGCCGTGTCTCATCCCTCCTGGAAAGATATGATTCAGGTAGATACGTTCTAGTCTCGTATAACCGTTTAATCAATTTGCATATTTCATCAAGGAATGCATAACCGAACACCGAGAAGAAGCGCGTTCTGGTGTGTCACGCTCAACAATTAAGAAGGTGAGTATATGCGCGTGGTGAATATTTCCTATTGGCTAAGTTCGTGATTGCAGTATATCACGGAGAAGTATCGTATCGAAATCGAAGGTACCAACGCATCTCAACTCAATCGCGCCATTGCGCATGGCGCCAAGGTGGGTCTGTTTGCCTTGCCGAAGGGTCCTTCTGGCAAGGTCAAGATGGCTCCTAAGAACAAACTTTCGCATGTCAATGAGGTTGGTAGACTTCACGTGTTTCGTTACGTTGGTCTAATGTATGTGTCCATAGAATACACAACCGGTAGTCATGAAGAAAGCGTCTGCACCGAAAGCAGCTGTATCGGCTAAGAAGTCTGCCATCAAACCATCTACAGCATCAGTCAAAAAGTCGAAAGCCATCACAAAGTCAACGAAGAAAATCACTAGCGCGAAGGCCGCTACTAAGAGGGTATGTTTACACGGGTTTGATTGAGTCTGAGAGACTGGGATTTTCCTGACGTTTTTCATTAGCCTGCGGTCAAAGCAGCCGCAGCAAAAGTAGCGACGACGAACTCTAGGGCTGTCATCAAGCCGAGAGGAAGACCCAAGAAGGTACGATTGATGTCTTCGGCTATTGCGGCTATATTATGCTAATTGCTGACATGCTCTACGCAGGTGGAGGCGTAAACCGTTCCGCACCTGTTCTGTTCTTGTCTAACTTGCCCTTTAATTTGGTCCTATTCTTATTTTTCTTGTTGTCTCGTAGCTTCATCTTGTACCAGGATGTGTAGAATGTGTTTGACGCCGAATCATGTTTGTACTGTGCTGTAGCTAGATATGGCATACGGCCGTATATTGGGGAATTGAGTTTCTGAATGTTGTTGGATTCTGCTAGCGCTTGTATTGTCTCCAATGTTGAGCAAGGTAAATTATGCTTACAGGGAGTTGGGCTCGTCGTATGACGCACGCGAGCCCGCTCTGAGCCTGCCACAGACTCGTGTCGGATAGTCACTCAGACTGGACCTATACAGGTGCGGCACGTGCCGCTGGATCTCAGTCGCCCACTGGCAGCATCAACTGGCTCTCATCGTTCTTTAGCTGCGTTTGGGCTCTTCATCACTGATATAATACTCGCACTGAGGTTACGTCTATTGCTCATGTTCCACCCAGTATTCATGGCTGGCACGCCGCACTGCCAATTTATCATCGCATCGTCCCAAGGTCAACCTCCAACGTAGAATTCCGAACGAGAATTGTGAGCATCGTGCTCGCGGATTTTCTTTGATCATGGATTTGCGACAGAAGCGGTGAGTACGCGTATGCTATTTTCTTCATCGATGCTGCACTACTATCATGTCGCGTATATCGCTAGAGGACGCAGTCACACTGATGTTGAGTTTGGTCTTGCAAGGTTGTCGGCTTCCAAATATACAGAAAGCCCTGATCTTTTAGCTTGTATCTTATCCGGCGTTGTCATCGTTGAACGCGATGCACGGTCTATTCAGCTAGATAGCAGAGCTTGAGGTGAGAATTTCCCAATGCTGTTGCCATTGTGACCCACATAACACATGTAGAACTCTTGACATAGGCCTGACAATTGTTGCTGACGCCAGCCATCAGAACAGGACAACGGTTGTCGTCCCTGCGGGATACGTGTTTGTTGCAGTGTCGTTATGCATGTCAACCCACAGGAAACAAACTCATAATAAGACCGTCCTGTCCAACTGCGATACACAGGACGCGGTTAAGTGGTGAGAGCGCTTTTCATGGCTCGCGGATGAGTATGCTGCCTAATCTCTTTGCCTCTCACCGAATTAGATCGACATGTTGGCGCTAGCAGAGGGCACACAAACTGAGCAGCATTCTTGTTTCTCTCTTCTCGAAACACCCCACTGGCCGAGTCCTCATGCTTCCCTTCATTTGTTCCCCCGAACGACTGCGCGCGTCAAGGCTCTCCGTGGGCGTTGGCTATATTCCGTGTGTTCTAGTGCCATCGACGACGGGACGAAAACGGCAGGATGTTTATCGTGGTTGGAGGGTGAGAAGTATCACGTGGTGTGGACGCGTCATTCCGCTCCCAAGCCGTCGCACCACTGTGACAGGCCTGAATCTCGGCGATGTGAAAAGGTGCGCATCGTAAGTGGGCAGTTTCAGAGTCCGTGGGGTCGTGGCGTCTGCAGCTGATGGCGTCTCCCTGCAGCTGCGGCAGCCCCTCTCTCTGCAGGGTGCGCCGACGCGGCGGGCCGGCGACGGGCACGAGACACGAGGCTAGAGGAAGCGCAGGCAACGTGGGGTGGCGCGCGGGCGGGACTAGGCGGATGCCGTAAATGCGTGACTGCGTGACTGTTGGATCTCGATGGATGTTCCGCGGCCATCATGCTAGACTATTTGGGTCGGTTACCGCCAGGGCCCTGCCGCGCCCTTCAACTCTCACAAAGCGCGTGCTCTCCCTCTCCTGCCTTCCTTTCTCCCCGACTACCAACCCGACACCGGTCTTCCCATCCCCCCCTCCTTTGCCCCCCCTCCTCTTCCTCCAAGTCTCTCCTCTGCCCATTCTTCCCCTCGCTGGTCGACGACTTGCTTTGTCCCTAACTCGCTCTTAATGTTCTTTGCCCCACATGGTTCCTCCCGTCGTCGCCCCAGGTTCGCGTGTCTCTCCCTCTACTCCTCATCAGTATGGAACGCGCATCCGTTCCAATTCCACGATCAAACCCTCCGCCCGACTTCGCCAATCTCCAGATGTGCCGCCACCGCCTCCAAGGCGCATTCGGCCTGTCCCCACTCCCAAGTCTAAGGCTCCGCCCGCCGTCTCGGACGTCATGCGTCCTGACTGGCCCCCATTTCCACCGGAACAGGTCATGCTACACTCAGACGACGCAAGCAGCAAGGTCTTTCTTGCTATAGGCAGGTCATTCATGTCTGTCGTACGTATTTCATCCCAGTTTGTGGCGTCGCACGCCTAATTTTTTTTGTATGCGTTCAGGACAATTGCGCCATGACCATCAAAGACCTTGCAGAGATGACTATGAAGTTTGGATTAATGTGTCAGAAGTACGTGTTCTCTCTGTGCGATCTGGTCATTTCATTAAGCCGCGTACCTTGTAGCGTGTCCGCAGCGGGGCAGGCAATCACCACGTACATCCGTAATCATATGCAACGCTGCGAAGTCCAGCAAGATCATCCTCTGCTTCTTCGACATGTCCTCTCCGGTACCTCATCTGATGACGACCTTGTATCCGCCCTTCATTCTCGCACAGGTGGAGCTCATTGTATGCTGAATCCATCAGACACAAGAATTACCAATTTTCGGCGAGGCACTATGGTTTGGTATCTCAGCAAAGCTGCCGGGGCGCCATGTCCGTTTGCTAGGGCCGGCATTCGATTGTCCGATTACAGTGATTCTGGCAAGGCTGGTGCACCAATTCTTCAAGGAAAGGACAAGAAACGAGAGAGAGATCGTATGCGTCGTGCTGAGCAATGTGGCCAGAAGCGGAAGCGTCTTCTGCGCGCCTGCGCTGACAAAGGATCGGATTCGGATTCAAGCGAAGACGACCGAAGGCCACCCAAAGTGAAGCTCACATTGCGACTCCGCCCACCATTCGGTTCTCCTTGCGATTCATCATCAGGGATATCTACGCAACCCGAGTCCGTACAGCCGGAGATCATTGACTTGTCCAGAGACGATGGATTTGATTCAGATCGCATGTCCTCCGACTCTGATTCTGACTTGGACTCCGATTCTGACAGCGATGCCATGTCTGTGGAATCATCTGACGTCGAAGTGGATTCCGCGTTGGATTATCCTATTCTTGACGCTCAACCTCGCGGTCTAATGCCTTTTCCCGCTTGCACATCCTTTGCCGATGGTCAACATGTAACTGTTGATCGACTGTCAGTATTCCACAGCGAATCTTCCGCGTCTCCCCCGCCGGATTCCGAAGACGAGGATGAACAATCGCACACCAGCGCGAACAGTCCTTGGCGGTCTTCTATCCATAGCCGACTGTCTTCAGATGACGAAGACGAGGATATGGACTATGCTCATGACTGGTTCGATCTGGATGGTGATGCTGAAACACGGTGGGAGAGTCCTGGGCCTCGATCGCCGTCAGCTCAATTTGAAGATGAAATTGTGGTCAAACAAGAGCCAAGCGACGTAGGTGAATTCCTTGACGCCTGGGACGACCTTGACAGCAAGAATACATGCTTGAGAGTCATTGACGTGATCGCTCAGGCTGCTGCAGGTTTATCGACGGAGGTCAAGCCCAAAGTGGAAGATTCGGACTCGTGGACTTTTCAAGGTTTGGGGGGTATGAGCATAGGCGATGCATTGAACTGCGATATCATGCATGTCAAGCAGGAGGAGATAGAATCTCAAGTCTCGTTCCTAGTGGATGGCTTCATGACACCTCCCCCAGAGTGTCCGTCTCCGACGATATCTATCTCTCCCGTCGCACCATCGCTCATTTTGCCGGCGTCGTACACCGATAGCATGCTCGAGGCTTGCAGAAACAGCGACTTTGAATGGCGCGACGCTGAGGTCCTCGGACCTGATAGTGTTGATGTCAATGATCTTGATGAGGGTGTATGGCAAGATGGTTGCAGCAGGTATTCGAATGTGTCCCACGAGGCTTCGCCTGTTACTGAGAATTCTGGTGTGGATGTGAACAATCCAGCTGTCCCTGCACACGTTCCTGTATTACCTCCTCGTCTGGACCTAATCTCTCCTCTCGCGCATATGAGTCGTCTATCGGTCACCCCAGATCTGCCATCACCATCATTGCTTACATCTCTCACCTCGTTGTCCCTCCGATCTCCAACAACACTGCAGACGTCTCAAGCGGGGCCCTCGTCGTCGCCGCAAACCTTGTCAGAGGATTCATGCGAGCATGTAGGCAAGGCAGATGAATATGGTGTATTGCACATGTGCCAACCCGGTGCACAGGCTATTACAGCTAAGCGGTTCGAAGGTATGGTATCGTTCACCTGTTCTGCACCTTATAAACTGAACTGGATTTATTTGCACGTAGGTATTACCGTATACCAGATGTCGCTTGAATCCTCGTTGGTTCTCAGAAGATACGACACCGACTTCGTGAATGTTTCTTCTCTAGTCATATATCTTGGAGTGTCCATACCGGATGAATCAAATGCTGTCGTTGTAGTCAGAGGCTCCCCAAGTATCTGCGGTACATGGGTGTCACTGATGACAGCGCAAGAAATGTTCAAGGATCGGCCGGAGCTTACCATCTTCCTCTCGAATCAACTTTCAGACTGTTTCCCTCAAGCCCTTCATGGCCTTACCCATTCGAATCCGATGCTCCGATCAAGAGATCACTTCGGACCCAACTTCCAATCAACAGTTGATGCCAATCGCCACTCTTTATCTTCTCAACGTATCGAGCTACCGCCGTCTGACTTTGGTTGGGATAAAGAGCATGTAGATGCAGATGAGCATCTAATCTCTATGCATCCAGTATTCGTGCTGGCTTCGGCCATGTTGCCCACCCCCGCGATGTCTCCGGAAGAAATAGTCGTCGCAGAGGCCCCTTTGAGCCCAACAGAAGAGGAGATATTCCGTGTCCTGTGCCCAGACCGGGATTGGGAAGAGCCTACGTCTATATTTGGAGGTGACAGTGCTAGGACAGCGACCATAAACAACGAGGAGAAGGACTGGACATCCCGGGATCGCCCTCTACGGCGGTCAAGGCGCGTGGCAGATGCCATTGCAAATCGATCTCGCACGCGCTCAAACAAACGAGGCTCTCGCAGCTCGCAGTCCTAATCGGACCCTAGCGTGTCCTTGTCTTTTATTCGACGCTTTTACCTTACTTATTGAATTCGCCTTTCGTCGCTACACAGACTTCGTTAGATTCTGCACCGCCAGGGTTTGGCGTCGGCCACCGCTGCTTGATTTCAACAGTCAGCCCGGCATCACCATTCATTCCATTCGCTTGCTTTTTGATCACGATGTACCGCCGCCGAGGACCCCAACACCTCCCTGTTGCTCTGCCGGATACATTGTAGTAATGTGCCGGATGGACAAGCTCTTTTAATGTTATACGAAAGTAGCTCCGCTCAGTATAGTGCTCGTACCTTAGTATGCTTGGCAAAAATGATAGTAGTAGCAGATTAGTTGTCTTCGCCTGCGCGTACCTGCGGGGGGCTATTTGCGCAAGAGCATTGAATTTTGCGTGAGAGCAGCGTGACCGGGAGAGAAATGTTGGGAACAAGGCCTTCCGCGAGCGGCTATAGAAGGGAGCGGAGTTGAAAGGGGGATATAGGTGCTCCTCTCATCGTCGAATCCCTCGCTCCCGACCACCATTCACCCTACTAAGTCCTACTATTTACCGGAGTCTACCCTACTGTAGTAGTCCTGGGCAATCATTGTCTATCTTCGCCCCTCAAAATTCGCTTCTTTGCAAAAATCGCCCTATTACGATCATAACCCCTGCTCATAGTTACCCACGTCGCTGTCGGATTCGAGCTCTGGCTGTTTTCGCGTTTGCTTCGTTTTGCTTACTCTCGCAACCAGCTCTGCCGTCACCACCAAACATTCAGTAATTCGTAATATCTTCCTGACGACACGATGTCTCTCTCCGCCTCTGACAGCAACAGTGCGTTTTCCAGAGTGACATCTGGCAAAACACCGCCTCCGGCCCCTTCAGCCGCCTACGCAAAAAGGTATGTCTCTTTCTCCCATTTTCGAGCTGCTTGTCTTAATGAAGTTCTCAGGGCGAGGGCGCTTGAGGCTGAAGGGGGGATTGGGGCGAGATACAGACCTCCCGCGCTGCGCGCGTTAGCCTCCGGGGGCTCTCCTCCTAATGACCTCTCTTCGACCACAGCTGCCACTGATGACACTAATACCCTGCCGTCCACTAGCTATCCCGCGGGTTTCAGGAGGGCGAGGGCTGGAACCTTACCTTCCAATGTCCAACTTGCCGCTCAACGCTTTGCTGCTGCATCAAGCACTTTGAATAGCTCCGCTGCTGCTGCTGTAGCGGCCGCCTCCACGGAATCGTTTTCCGACGAGCTGCAAAGACAAAATTTCGTGACCCCTTCCGCGTCGGCGGCCTCCGCTCGCCCTGGTTTACGTCATTCGACATCGGCTGCATCTTCGGTCGCATCTTCGGTACTCACAGAGCGTAACAGCCGGCTGCGATCTGGTTCGTTGACTCTACCGAGCGGGGGGCTCTCGAACGCCTTCGGCCCCTCGATTTTCTCGACTTCCTGGCTGTCGTCCAGGAATGGTAGTCTGCCTGTTCTGGACGATTTACGTTCGGTCAATTCTATGGATTCTCGCGATGACGACTTCGATGTACACACACTTGACTATTTGGGGCTAGACGAGACACTCCGCCACCCGCCGGCTGCCACCATTTCTGAGCTGCGCAACCAGGCTCAGGCGGCTATTGCAGGCAACCTCGCTGCAAATCCATCTAGGTTACGTGCCACCACAGTATCTAATCCGTATCACCTAAGGCCTTCTGCAGGCGCTTCGTTGCTGCCTACTCCTAATGCACACGAAGAAGAGGAGATGTACGATGAAGAGATATACCACAGGCAAGGTTTGGATGTTTATCAAGAGCCGGATAACAGTTACCTCTCGTCCGGCTACATTCCCAAAGGTTTCAAGCACGGTGATCATCTCTCTGTTGGTTTAGGCTCCCGGCCCCGGGCAATCTCCGTTGGAAATTTGGATGATACTACCCGGGCACTCCATCGTCGAGTTGCGCCCTCTGATGCTCAGTCTGCATACGCAAGTGATTTATCCATTCAAACTGGACTTGGGGGTATCCTTAGGAATGACAAAGCCGCCGCTCGAGGGGGCATTTCTCCTTCCGTTCATTTCCCCAATGGAGAGCTTTCCAGGACCAGCTCATATCTGGCCGCTCCATCGACCCAGAATCGCGCTACGTCCCCAAAGTCAGAGGGATCAACTCAAATGCAGACTCCAACGCGCTCGCTCTGGATCGGCAACTTGGATAGTTCAGTCACGAGCGAGCAGCTCATACACGTCTTCGCACCATACGGTGCCATTGAGAGTTTGCGACTGCTACCGGAGAAGGTAAGTTTGTCTTGCCCAATCACGGGTTCCCTATTGACGCTCTTTGTAGGAGTGTGGATTCGTCAACTTTGTGGACCAGGCGGACGCTATCCGGGCTAAAGAGGATGTGCTCAATCGCTTGGGTGGCGACATTGGCATGCCGAATGGACAGACAGTTCGTATTGGCTTTGGCAAAGCTGACAGTGCACCTGTTGCCCCCGCGAAGGGGACCAACTTAAATAGCCCTTCCGCTACATCCCCAGGTGGTACGCTTGGCAAATCTTCTAGTAATAATGCGGGACTCGCAGGTATGGATGCTCAATTGCAGTCTACTCCCACGAGAGCACTCTGGATCGGGTCTATACCGTCAACGACTACTCCCGCTACCATATTGAGTGTATTCAGTCCTTATGGGCCTATTGAGTCAGCAAGGGTTTTGACGCACAAGAATTGCGGCTTCAGTAAGTATTTCCTTGTAACTTGCAATATCTTCTGAACGAAATCATCCTCAGTTAACTTCGAGCGTCTCGATGATGCTGTGAGAGCTCGAAAAGCTTTAAACGGTCGAGATGTGCTGGGTAGCGATGTTGGAGCCATTCGTATTGGTTTTGCCAAGGTTCCTGTGAAGAACGGGTCAGACACTAGTAATGGTCAAGACGAAAGTGCTGGGCTTAATGTTCAGGGCATCGGTGATTTAAGCGTCGGTGCAACCATTCATGCCCTTCGCAATATCAAGGGTGCAACCACGATTCCGGTTGATCAGCAGGTTCTCAGCGGTGCCGTTGAGAACTATCGTTCCAATCTGCTGCTGAGCATGATTGCCTCGGGTGCACACAGTGGTGGTTACGACAGCACGGGTAAACCGGTTGGGTGGTCTGCTTCTGTCACTGAGCAGCAGATGATTATGAAGGAGCTTAGTGGTGGCAGCCCGGATGCGGAAGCCGATATTCAAGCACTTGCAGGTTAGAGCTGTCAACTCGCTAGACTTTCTCGTGGCTGACTGCGTGTTCCAGAGTTCCGCCCCCCTACTATGTACTACACCACCATTCCGCTGGTGTCTGAGAGGCCTCACAACAGGCGCTGGGATGCATCTAAATTGCGAGAGCTGCGGAAGCGTCTTGACACCAGTACCATTTCGACTGAGGAGATTGACAGTGTTGCAGCTGATTTTCTCGATGGGGAAATTGTTGATCTTGCGTCCGATTGGCTTGGTAACACGGTATGTGATACTGCGATGTGTTACATACTTCATTGTGCTTACTTCGGCGTTAGGTTGTACAAAAGCTATTCGAGAAATGTTCTCCTGGACCCCGTTTGGCTATGCTGGAACGCATCAGCCCTCACTTGGCGATGATCGGCATCCACAAGAATGGTACATGGGCAGCTCAAAAGATCATCGAATGTGTGCAAACCCCAGATGAAGTTGCTCTCGTAACTCTCAACTTGCGTCCCTATGTCCCTCCGCTTCTCTTGGATCAATTTGGAAACTACGTTGTGCAGTACGTCTGTTCACCATGGAGTTCATGCGGATGTCGTCTCATTTATCCATTTATGTGTAGATGCTGCCTTCGCTTCGGTGCCCCATCCACCGATTTCTTGTTTGATGCAATGGTAGATCGTCTGTGGGAGATTGCTCAAGGGCGCTTTGGAGCTCGTAGCATGAGGGCTTGTCTCGAGAGTGGTCACATTACGCTCAACCAGCAACGTCGTATCGCGACGGCAGTCATCTTGAACTCTATTCCACTTGCCACAAATCCCAACGGGGCGCTGCTCTTGACATGGCTTCTCGATACGTCGAGCTTCCCGTCTAGATACAACTTGCTTGCTCCTCGCTTCACCCCCCATCTATCTCATTTGTGCACTCACAAGCTCGCTTCATTAACTGTCTTGCGGATCGTTAATCAAAAGGTGGAACCCGAGGCGTCGAGCCAGATTGTGGACGCTCTCTTTTCCTCCCCTGGTGACCATGTTCTTACGGATGTACTGGGCGATCAAGTCAACGGTGTTGCCGTTGTTCACAAGATTCTCACGAGTCCCTTCATTGACCCAGCGCAACGCCCGAGCTATGTGGAGGCCACGAAACGTGTGCTCATTGAGCTGAAGGTTATCGCTACACAAGCCTATCGTCGCTTGATCGAGGAAGTTGGGTTACCTGTCCCGAACCTGCAACCAACGTATACAACGAATGCCCCCCAGCCCAACAGCAAAAATAAATACACTTCCCAGAGCAACTATGCTCTTCCTGGGCTCCCGGCGGGATATCCTTCTAATGATCAGGGTTTGGCCTCTATGATGGCGGCGCTTCAGATGGGTGGACAGAATGCTGCGTCTGGACCTCCCCGACTGCAGATTGATCCTGCGTACGGACAAAACGGAGTAGGGCCAGTGGGCGGTCGAGGACGCTCCCCGAATCCCGCCTCTGCTTTCTCTCCCTCGACTGACCCCTTCAATCCGTTTGCCATGCGCTCTCCTGATATGGCCAGTCCTCGGACTAACGGGTCTCGCCGCAATGGAGGCGTCCCACCTTCAGCGGCGCCCTCGACGATTCCCTTCGGCGTTCAATCGCCTGGGCTTGCACAAACTGCTGGTTTGATGGGTATAAGCCAACCCACATACAACAACATGACCCCGCAGTCTGTTCCTCCGCATGTCTATCAAGCTTACATGTATCAAATGTATCAACAACAAAATTCGCCCAATATGGGCGCCTTCCATGCTTAGAGCGCCAGCTGTCGGCTCTGCTATCGTTTGACGATTCTAACGAATTGCTCTTGGGAATGCTAACACCCGGAGATATGAAGATTCGGCTCTTTCCATTCTCATCTGCTATTATATACGCTTCCCCGTTTGACCCTCGACACATTCGTGGATCCGGACTGTATACCCTCCCGACTTTATCAACCGGTACACTCTCACACTCCTTTGCTCACACAACAAAAAAGTTGGATATGATTCCCGTTGGACGGCATAGTTTGCTGGTGCTGTAAGAAGGGTGCGTGGTCGGTGGTTCATATTTCTCTACTATCATCGGTCTTTGAATGTACAAGTACGGACAGGCTGTAAAACATGGCCATAAATCTCATGAATAGATGTGATGTTACATTGCACCAAACGTGTCTGCATCATTGCGGGATAGTTCACATTCGCAAGCCTTTCACCAAAGCATGAGATATTGATAAACAAAATTGCCTCAACATTTCCGTCACAGGTCACTACTGAACCTCATCTGTACTACCCTTTCAGCTCTAAGGTGGACCAGAATGTGTGCGCCCATGCACTAAGAGACCAGCGAATCAGTAGAGCATAGAGTTGTACCACTTACTCGAGAAGCACTGCGTCATCGTGGACACTACCTTGCTCGTCTGCCGCTCTCCCATATGTTACAGCTGCATTTGCTAGCCAGTGGTAATCTTTGTACTATTGCATCATTCATTTCAAGTATGTGGCTATATGTGTGGGCATCAACTAGTCGTCCCAGCGGCTTCTAGTCGCACGTGATTTCGTGCTTCGTGTCGTTCGTGGTTTTCACTTCGGTGAAAATTACTGAAGCAGCAAGTGCACGTCACTAATCCTGTCTGGCCATAATTGTTGCGCCATGTGCGGTCTGGCGAAGGCCCACAGGAATATATCACAGCCCATCTTGTTCAATATCAATGGGGCTTGTCACGGAGTTCGGGCACTTAGGACAAGGCTCCAAGAGACCCAGTAACACCAGCCTGAGGTTGTATCGATGGAAACGTCGCACCTCTGCAGGACTGACGAATACGATGAGTAGCCTGAAAAAACCGCATTATAAGTGACAAAGGTGTCCGACTAGGACCAGGTCACACACTGCGGTGTACATCGCCCGTGAGCGAGAGCATCTGAGAGAAATCGAGACATCCATGAATAATGACATTGATAGTCTAGTCTTGATTCAGTTGTAATGTACAAACTCTTGAAATTATCACCGGTGAGATACATCACTTTCCGGCCCAAATTGAGTCGCGCGAACGCCTTGAAATAAGGTTCTTATACAGCCAAGTGGGACACCATATTCGAGGACTCAGAGGGAGATAGTCACGGTGAGTTCAAGAATCAAATTGTGCAACTGCAACTTGGACGCGACCACGACTTGAAGTCGCGGTCGCGTCCAGGTCACATGATACACGTCATGGAGATCTGAGGCCCACAGCCTACAGGTCACAGCTTGATCAAGTCAATTCAACTCCTAAGACTGTCTCCTCCAAACATGCTTCGCGGTGCAGGCCGTCTCGCCCAGGTTTCTCGTTGCTCCTGTAAGCAGGCTGCTCGAAAGTTTCATTCCGAACGCTATTCCAAAAGCGCAAACAGCGCACTCCTCTATGCCGCCGCCACCGTGACTGTTGGCGCGATATGGTATTCTACACACTCGGTCATTCACAACGACGCATCTCCAGCTGACGATGTCGTCCAAAAGAAACTTTCTGGGATAATACATCGCTCGGATTCCAAGGTGTCCAGTAGTGATAAGCTCGGGTTAGATACTCTCGTATGGGGCTCAAACAAGTATAATACAGTCCATTCTTTTATTTCTGCCTTGTGCTCACTTTTCTGTGTTCTTCGCGCAGGGCGCATATCTTAGCTCTAGACAATGAGACCCTCGACTCCATCCGCACTCCCGCAACCGCCGCCTGGCTCGACAATGTCGCCCTGCGCGATCTGGCGTTGCATGAACGGCATGCAGCATGTGTTGATGCACGGGGAGATGTTTATCAGTGGGGAGATGGCTTCAGTAGCTGCGTGGAGTCGTCTTCAGGAAAGCCTATGCGCACGTTGCGCGGGATGGTACGTCGCTCGGTCCAAAAACAACTGCACCAGAGGCATTTTAAAAAAATCGGATCACAGAATATCGTTCGGATTCAAGTCACGCCTTCTCGCGTATTTGCGTTGTCGGCATCAGGCCGGATTTACGTGCTGTCTTCGTCTGCTCAGCAACAGACGCTACCACCCGGTACGCCGACACCAACTAGTTCGCCCTGGTGGGGTACTGGATGGCTTTGGGGTGACGAGGAAGGAGTTGATTTTGCGGAGGTCACACCACATGAAAAGTTGCATTGGGGGGAAAAGTAGGTCATTATGCTGTGTCCGTTTTCAGTAACTCACATCTACGTCCACAGGTTTGTGTCTATAGCTGGTGGAAGCGACCATCTTCTTGCCCTAACATCCTCGGGTCGCACGTTCGCACATCCTATCACGTTGAACGCGAATAGCTATGGACAACTTGGCCTTCGCAAGATCGACGTACCTGCACCTGCTTCTGCGTCTCATCCGCACTTGCCACACGGTCACAGGCGCGTCCAGCTCGAGTTAACGCCCAAGTCGATAGCAGATCCGTATGCGAAGTCGAGTCCAGCCACCCGGCCGGTTTCGCCTCCGGTCGAAAAATCTGCAGACGCAAGTGATTTCGGGCTGGATGACAGAGGCCTCAATTTCTCAGATAAGCTATTTGAGATTCCTGCACTGCGTGGTGTACAGGTGGACAGCATAGCCGCTGGATCGCGAAGCAGTTTTGCGAAGACGGCGGGGCGTGTGCTTGGTTGGGGTGCAAATGAATTTGGGTGTGTATCGTCATCTCCATTGGTTGCATGCCCGGTCTTTATCATGAAGATGCACAGACAAATCGGCCTGGGGAGCCAGGTGACGCTGGATACAATCACAGTGCCTACGGAGGTTATCCTATGGAGGTCGACGCCCAGTGCGATGCGGACGACGTGTCTTGACGTCTATGCAGGTGGCGACCTTACCTTCTTCAAAGTCGAGCGATCAGATGGAACCGCAATGCCATACATCGACGTCCTCGCCTGTGGCAATGGACAATGGGGTGGGCTAGGGAACGCCCAATTCAGCAATGCGCAGAGCACGCCTGTGCGTGCCCGGAGCGTCAGCGGTCTTCTTGAATGTAGGCCTCTTACGCGCATCGATGGCACGATGTATTGCTTACAGGTGCTGTATAGATAGCGAGAAGCACAACAACCTGCAGGCTATCATGCCCAGTGATATTTCCGTTTCACCAACAGGGCACGTTTTGCTGACACTAGATACGCTCGTGCACGGAGGTCCCGGTGCTGCCGGACGGGATGTCATGGCATGGGGAGCTAACTATGAGTACCAGCTGGGCAACGGGAAGCGGGGCAGTGTTTCGTCTCCGGCTGTGATACAGGATGGAGATGGCGAGCGACTCATGCTGCAGAAGCGACGGGCTACAGAAGTCAGAGACCTGCAGGGGAAGATATGGAAGAAGGGCGTGGAGGTCGAGCAGCGGGCGGTGGCGGGGTGGGGGAACAGTTTTGTCTACTGGAAGATTTGTTCGTAAGCCTGGACCCCCGCAGGGCCATCTGCGCGGGTGTAATGGATGCATCATTCCTCGTCATTTATTGTTGCTCGCATTTGTTTCGGTCGTGAGCGTGCGCCCAGACGGGAATAAGATGCGGCCTCGTGGCGATGAGGATGGCAATCTGGGGGGGAACATGTCCGACACGCTGCAGCCGGCCTGTGTTGGGCTCACGAGGAGGCCGGGGATAGTCCTGCACATGCCTTTCCTCCTCCCTTCATTCGCACCCCTTTACACCTCCTCCTTCCATTCTCTCTAGCTCCTACTCTTCGTTCGCCCTACGCCAAGTTGGTATGATGACTTTGTTGCTTCATTGCAGAAATCATCTCAGGAATTTTCCCCAGCTTTGTTGCGTTGCCATCGCCGGAGCGGCGTATTTGACTCGACGACCATAGCAACACCCACCACCCCTCTCTTCCCCGTCTTCCCGCTTCATTTCAGCCATGGTGTCCCTGTCTCCACAAGTGGTTTCCCCGGCCCTGTCCACGTCGTCGTACGACTACATCTCCGCTAAATCCACATCCGACGCCATGAGCCCCTCCTATAGGGCTCTCAGCGACGCCGCCTCTTCGGACGGCGACGAGATCGTGTGGTCCGTCTCCGACCTCTCTCTGTCGAGGACTTCTATCTCCGGAGTTCTTTCCCAAGGCGAGAGGAGATCCCGCTCGCCCACCACCGTATCTGAGGAGGATTTCATCGTCCTCAGCAGAACGATGTCGCCCGCGCGATTGAACGCGGTCACCACCTCGTCGCGGAAACTTCATTCGGACGCCATGCAGGCTCTAGAGAGAGAGATTACTGCGGCGATATCTGCCTTAACGCTTGCTCAGCCGAGTCCTCAAACCGCCCCGCCCAGTCGACCCACCAGATTTGACATCCGACGTGCGGTGGGCATCTCCTCTGAAACCACCTCATCCGTACGCCTACCGTCGCCGAAGAAGGGGAAGAAGAAGGGGAAGGAGATTGCGGTAGGTGGTGTCAATGCCAGTCGAGCGAAAGGGGAGAAGAAGGAGAAGAAGGTCAAGGCTCTGGCATCTCCGTCCCCCGCAGCCAGCTCGGCTGCCTCGTCTCCTAAGACAAAGGCAGTGGGAGGGACGCCGGCACCCTCCTCACCGTCGAAGAAGGGAGCATCTCCACCGGCAACGAGCCCTCCCGTCTCACCTTCGAAGAAATCAAAGGCAAAGCGGGTTACTGGACCAACGAGCACCAATCTCCTCGTACCCACTACGTCCTCTGGACTTGGAGAAAGGGCGATCGTCGACGATGTCTCTGAGGCGGGGGACAACACTGCTAGTGATGCCCTGTATCATGATGCTGTTGAGTATATCTCGACGTGCGTTTATGCTACTGCGTTTGATGAACCACATCTCACTTCTTTCTTCTAGTTTCTTATCACAGCCTGGGATCAAGTCTGGGTCCAATCTCAAGCTCCTTCAGGCATTGATTATCGAGCTTGGACTCTCGTCGCTGCCTTCCCTCCCGCATTCCCTTCGCGCGGCCAAGGCATTCCTCAAGTCGCACGTATTCCTGAACGTCCGCGATTATCTTGCCGTGCGGGGACAGGGTCTTGACGCTCTCCGCCGAGTCATGCATCCCAATCGCAGCTCCCTCATGCGCGAGATCAGGTCCGGAAAACGTGTGCCGGTCAAACATGTCAAGGATTCCGGTCTGAATGTTCTTCTTATTACTTGTCACTAAGTCGCCGCCCCTGGACTTCTTCGGCTGTCTCCTGGCCTTGCAACGTGTCAATTTGTCGAATCAATGCTCACGACGCTTTTTTTGCTTGTGCTTTATCTTGCCCTGACGCTCGTCCGTCCTTCCTTTTGTTCGTACGTGTGTAACATCATGTCTTGCTTCCCTCGACGAGATAGGTTGTAGGTGTACCTCACTGTTTCGATACCGAGCTGTACTTGTACCACAAAGACGTCGTTCTTGAGCCTGCCACCCTGTACTATAGCACCAATCCTCTCTTTTTCTATTGCTATTTACCGGTCTCCTTGTACATATGCGAATAATCATAAGTTGAATTGATTGGCATCGCCGATGGCCATAGAGATTGTATAATTCCTATATTCAGGTGCAAGGGGTATACTAAGGTACCACCGGAAACTACATGACTCTGCAGACAGGTGCTAGTGATGTGATTCTGAACGCCCAGCGTGTGCTCTATGGTGGACGATGGTCGGTAACAGTGTATACTGACCGCACTCTGCATTAACGGAGAGAAGATCTAGACGGGAATAAAACGCAGAGCGAAACATTACGAGAAGTATAGCAATGTGTAAGACAGCTCGTGATAAACGGTAGCATATAAATGAAAATCTGAGATGGGTATAGTCGTCTGCGTCCTTGTTAAAAATTTACCCATAGTGTCCATCAACATCCTACTGTGCACAGCACGCGGCGCAGTCCATACGCCCACTAGCCATTCATGCTCTGATCAGATGACAGCAAACCAGAATCAACAGGAGTGCTCTACTGTGCCTCTGCGCCAGCGATCATCAGCCCAGCCAGACCGAGCAGCGCCTGGTTAAAGTCTTCAAGAGTAGTTCCACTTGTGGTGCTCGACGAACCAGTGGGCGTCGAGGTCGGGGCAGAAGATGTTCCACTCGACGTGAGGGAGCTCGAGCTTGAGGTGCCAGTAGATGAAGCGGTGGACGAAGGACTGCTGCTTGTGGGAGAGCTGCTAGAAGTCGAGGAGCTGCTGCTTGTGGTTGGCGTGCTGCTCGTCGTCGTGGTCGGAGGAGGGGGAGGCGTCGAGGACGTCGTAGTTGGGGGAGGCGGAGGAGGCGGAGGCGTAGAAGTCGTGGTAGGAGTCCATGGTGTTGAAGTCGTGGTGGGTGTCCACATAGTGGTGGGCAGCAGGGGAGGGGTTGACGAAGTCGTCGGCGCGGGGGCAGCACCACCACCGGATCCATAGGACCATGAGCCAGTTAGTACACCAACGCTGAGGTCGGCGAAATACTCGAAGAGACTATTGGACATGTCAAGTCCCCCGGACGGACAACCAGGACACTATGCAAGAAACAATGAGATGTCCGAATTGCAATGAGTATGGACAGGCTTACCTTATCTACTATAGTCGCTGTGGTTGTTTTGCCATTAGCTGTGATAGTGATGGTCTTGAAGCACTCCGGGCTGGGAGAGACATCGCCATACAACTGCCAAAATACGCACTTAGCCAGTAATCTAGATACATGGATCACCACATACATCTGCGTCAAGCGCTACAACCTGAAAAGATAAGGTTTGAGCACCAAGATTCTCAAGTATGATGCAATTATCCATGGCATAAAGGACTTACGAATTGGTTTGGCGTGCTAGTTTCTCCGCACCCACCCCTTGAAGATGACAGTCAAGACCAAGAATGGAATCACTTCGTACAGACGACTTACAGCCCAACAGCATAGTAAGTGAAGCGAGCATTACTGTACGACTGGCGACGAACTAGATCGCCACGGGGACGATGGGCCAGGGAATCGTGTCGTCGATGCACGTCGCGGTGCGAACGGCCGTGAGCAGCAGCGGTGAGCGGCGAAATGAGCGACAGAAAGGCAAAGCTGAGCAGGGTAGGAAAGCGCATTTCTGAGCCTGGGACAGGTATCTGGGGAGGAATGTTTTGCTGAAAGAGCGTGAGCAAAGCGAGTGAAAAGTCCTGAGGACGTGAGCGGGCGTGAGGAAGAAACACTGGCAACGCTTGACGGCGACAACGGCGAGGCAAAGCCGTTTCTTGCCATAACAGCGCCAAGCAGGCTGCACTTCCTTCCATACAAGGCAGGCGTCTACGTTCCACTCATGGCCAGTTCGACATCATTCAAACACATCCCGACTAGTCTCGACTTGGGTAGTATGTATAGTACATGATACAATTTCAATTAAGACCCCAGGCATACAAGTACATCCTTCTCGCCCAGTCGCATTTCAGCAGTCAGATCTTAACAGCAGAGAATCACGCCCAGTTGGCTGCCTCTATAAGACCACTGAGAGAGACAATAGCCACGTTGAATTGGTTCAAACTCCCTTGGTCAAGAGACAGAGCGGGCGCCGGAGCCGGGGGAGTCGGAGTTGCCAGGGCAGTGGCGAGAGTCGCCGTAGCCTCACTAGTGAGAAAAGGGATGAGCGGGCGCGTAGGCAGAGCAAAAGTGAGTGTGGAGGAACTGTAGTTCGACGGAGCTAATAATGAGAAAATCGTTGGACTGGGCGTGTCATAAGAGGATGAGATACTCCATGAGGTAGTTGGCTGGATTGAGCTATACGTGGTAAACGGAGTCGGCGTTGACGCCGCAGAGGGACTTGAACTGCTGGAAGACCCTTCACCGTCGTCGAATGTCCATGTGCCGTACAAGACGCCGATGGATTCAGCAGCAAAGTAGTCGAAAAGACCTCTTGAAAAATCAAGGCCACCGTATGGACATCCTGGACACTATGTGCGGCAAGGAGGAAGAGCTTGGGCATTTAAGACGCATATTAACATATCGGACAAACCTCGTCGGTAACTGTAGCTTGAGTACTCTTTCCACCGTACGAGATGGTGACCTTTTGATAGCAATACTCGCCGCCATTAAATTGCTTCAATATCGGTTAGCTCCACTTTGGCTCAAGCAAAGCAAAGCAAATTCTTACGGCAGAATTAAGAGCAACGATCTGCCATTTGCACCGATATCGACAAAGGAGCATTAGAGGAGAGAAAAAGGGGGGAATAACAATTAAGGTCGGCACCTACATAATCGCTATTTGAGTCCTTGGAGCCGCACGCATTTTGGCCAGCATCGAAAAATGTGAACCTAGCATCACTGAAGCGCTTGTATGGAGCTCGCTTCTCCAAATGTTTCGGGATGTGATTATGTCGCCTCGAGAGCCCATGAGCCGTCCTTTGAGGACGATGCACATTCGAGCCTGAGTCGGCGAAAACGAGCCCAAGAAGAGACAAAGTAAGGAGCGTGGGGAGAAAAGACAGGCTGGGGGCGAGAGGGCGCATATCGATGGCGAATGCAGACCTCTCTCTTGCCGGATAGTGCAGAGACCGCTATAAGCGACTGGGAGAACAACAGAGACGGTTGTACACCCACCGCACAAACATGAAGTGGCCTAGACCTACATGTTAGCCTAGTATTACATAAGCGACGGTATCTGCCTTCTTGGGCCTTGGGCCCGCCACGGTGGCGTCGACACTCCTCTATCATATTCTCCAAACCTGCACACCGGAAATCATCTTGCAGTCTCGAAGCCATGTCTGGATTCCCTTGGTTTAGGATGACCCTCGCAACTGGCGGATGTACGCCCACTTTCTAGCGCATCTTTAGGCTCCTCTCACCCGTACTCCCGTCTGTCCTGACATGTCCCCTTCATGCACTCAGTCTTAGGGCTAGGTTACGCCATCATGCGCGGTGTGTACCTCGCATTTATTTGTATCATTTTGGACAGATTCTAATGTCTTCACCTGCTCACACGTATAGCAACTACGCCTACACCAGAGCAGACGTACGCAGTGAGTGTCCGCTCATCATTTCGACAGCTCTTGTCCGCCCGCCTTCTTTAACAAACAGACGTTTTGACAAAATTCGTGTTTCCTCAGGCAATGTCTCCGGATTTGCGTCGCAAAGTCGATGCAAACCGCGCCGCACGGTTAGCAATGGAGTCCGAGACTAAACGACAAGTGGATGCTCAGGTGACTGGCTCAGCTCCATGACCCCGACGCAACGGTGAACTGACCTTTTGATAGCTGAAAGATCCAGACTCCCAGAAACCCGTTTGGGCTGACAGCTCTCGCTCGTCATAGACCTGCGTCGCACACCACATCTACTTTTAGCTCAGACGATTGTGTAATGCACCAGTCATGTTTAATGCGAGCTCTTGGAATGAGACATGACTCCCGACTTCAATTATTTAGTACGTATGTCTCCACGAATCGAACTACTGAGCTCGGGATGCATTTCTATGTACAAGTGAGTGGGCTGCAGGCATCTCAGACAGTGGTAGTCTCGCGAGTTGAGTGCGTTGAGAAGTGAACAGAGATTATATGACCAAAAAAACAGAAAACAATCAGAATAGAATCTAAGTTACAGTGCACATCGTAGGTTCCGTCTGTATATGGGAAGAGCAGCATTACAACCTGTCTGATAGTCCATCACTACGTCAACATCTCTCACTCCATTCACTGCACTCGTCAACACAAATCCATCCATGCAGCTGCACATGCGGGAATACATATCAGTTGGCAGAAGCGGCACCAGAATCAGCCAAGGGGGTCGGAGGCCGCGAGCGCAGCAGCGGCTTGTGCGAAACCGCAGACTCTGGCGAAGACAACAGGACGTCATAGTTGGACGGCGCTAGCGAAGAAGCATAGGAAGTGCTGCGATGAACAGGGATAGGGCGCTGCCCCGACGTACCATCGACGGCCGACACAGGGGTTTCTGGTCGGGACGCTACGGCGCTCAGCCCAATAGACGAACCATCTGGTTGTGACGTCGTCGCACTGTCCAGAGATAGTCCACCATCGCTCTCCACACTAGGGTGTGCGCCGTCTGAGGATGGGCTTGAGGATTCCGTGGTTGGAGGTGTCGAGCTGAGCGGATGAATAGCAACTGTTGGCGTCAACGTATTGACGTCTGCAGGATCAGTAACTTCGACTATTTGAGATGTTTCAACTGGAGCAGACGTAGACAAAGCCGACGCTGTGTCGGATGTGCTAGATGGTGCACTATCGGACGAAGTCCCCGAAACTAAGTTTTGACTCTGGCTTTGGGTGTTTGTGTCAAGTTCTGCCGCCGACTGTGCCTTCTTTCTTTCCTCTTCTTCCCGTTCACGTCGCTGCTGTGCTTCATGCTCAATAAGCGATAATCGCAACGCTTCCATAACCATAAGCTAGGCACTCCACGATCAGTCTTGTAGCCACAACGTTGGGCAGAGGAACTTACTTCTTCTAAATCTTGTCCACCAAGACCCATGGAGCCCAACAGTTGATTGATATCCTGATTCTGTTGCCTCCGCCGCGACCTACGGCTTCCCCGCTCAGTGCCACCCTCCCCTCCTTCAATCTGGCCATCTTCTGTGGGCAATGCATGCACTCGTCCGCTGCTGATGCCTACCGGGATGAGCCGGTCACCAACTTGCCTCATGATGATTCGCCTATTCGCGCGCCGAGCGACTGCTGCACGGACGGCGGCTAACTTCGCTTCCCAGTCAGGTCGAATTTGATCTACGAGATTTGGTCAATTCTGTCAGCACGAAATAGGAGTTGCGAAAAGATACGACTCGTACCTATAGTGACGACTTCAGGGCTGTCCGCACCGAAACTCTTTCGTGGGCGTTTCATCGCTGACATAGGAGTACTAGTATCAGATTGCTTAGGTGATTCCGGCCATGAGGGGGGTGTCTGAACGTATACAACAATGAAAGACGGACTCAGCATTAGACAAATAAATTCAGTAAACTAGACGTTGACACGTACCGCCCCCTCGCTGCCCAATCCTGTACGCCATGTGGGTGGGGTGTATACTACCCCAAAGTTCTCCTGTACACAATAGGGACATGACGCGGGCTCAGACACCAGGTGTTTGGGATCTGGCTCTGCTCGTTTAATCTGCACAAAACATTCTGTACAAATGGCTTGGTCGCAACATCGCGAATGGTTGATATTGGGTGGGTAATACTAAGTCGTACGACTCAGAACCCAAGAGAGAGGATCAGAAAGGCATGGCAGAAGGCGCACCAAGAAACAGATGGGACACTCGACAGCTCCTCTGTAGACAGCGATATCCAGATGTCGCGTCAGATCCCTAGAGTTGCTGGTACCATGACCGCGTTTGTGGTGGCTAGATCGGGACGCGACAGACATCGAGTCAGCGCGTGAGCTCGACCCCTCCGGCTGCAATGCATCGGCGTCCAGAGGCTCTCTCCTATGCGCAAAGATCTGTTCATCGTCCCAAGATTCGTCGTAGTCTTCTAAGGGGCGGTAGAACGGGGCGAGCTTGCGTTCGCAGATGAGCTGCGCAACTATAGACTGGTTCCAGTCTCTAGTGCCGGTGTAGATGCCCTGGGGGGTGAGGTAGCCGAGGTCGACAGTCTCCTCGTGATGGCCGCGACCCGAGGAGGCGCTATTGCCCATGGTGAATGATGATTGCGCGCCGCAGGAGGATTCTGGAGGTCTGAGGCAAGGGCTTTCGTCACACTACCAGTCGGTGCCACCGGCCAGTTTGACCAATGCAGGGAAGTATCCGGCCTTGACCGGGTTGTGCCAGCCGCCCAACGCGTCCCCTGCTGCAGCAAAATTCAATTCGAGTCGTTCCGGGGTGGAATATTAAGAGTCGCAGCGGCCGTACTCGGATGAGGTGCAAGGAAAGGTAAGGCGAGAGGTGGGGCTGCAGATTGAATGGTGTCACGCCCAGGCCTTTGTCAGAGCGTGGCGCACACCCATCCGTCCCGGCAGCGGTCGGCGACTCTCCGTGTCCGAAAAATCCCTCACCTCAGGCAGTAGTACATAAAATGGCAAATCTAAGCCGACGCCAGATACGACAATATTTATAAAGGTGCTACGACATGCACAAGCAGCAGTCAATTCAAACACTGTCCAGGCTGAATGCTGCACATAAATCACGCCAGCCTGAGATCAGACCCAGACCATCGTTCTTCTGCCACTGCAGTAGGCCGAACGTATTCGTGAGTTTCGCGGTTTCCGACTTGTATCAGATGGAATCAACCCAATGGCATGAAACGGACCATCCTGACGCTATAGAAGTATTGCCTTCTAGCCTCCTGCCCCTGCCGCTGACTTGTATGCATCAGAATGTCGGGATCAACAGCACCTGTAGGGCACTTCATTATTGTGATATAAAGACAGATTACGTATGTTACAAACTAAATACTTGATCAGTGCATCTGAGTGCAACCCAAGCATGCCAAGAGCATACACACCATAGCCTTGTCAGAGACAGCAACGACTTCCTAAAGCACTGGCTTCAGCGATGAAAATCGCAGCTAGTGACATTTCATATGCGCCTTTGCGCCGTTCTTGCAGCGAGCGCGAGGCCCAAGCAGTGTTGGCTGGGCGCATAATACCGATGAGATCTAGATGGGACTACGCCGCGGAGACTACTTGGCCACGGTCGTCGTGTTCTCTCGAGGCCTCCTCGAGGACGGTAGGGCCGTTGAACTTGAGCGGGGAGAGCGGCGCGAGCAACATGCGTGGAGGAGGCGCCGAGAGGGAAGATGCCACGTCAGTCGAGAGGGCTTTTTTTACGCTGCGGACGTGGCGGGTGGCTTCTCGTCTGCTCGCTTACCTCTGTGCTCGACATCGTCCCTCCTCCTTGCGCAATCGCAGGGTTTGGTTTTGTCGGCATGGAAGCTCCCTGGACTAAATCGGCCCACGACGTCCTCCAACATTATTCCGTCGACCCCGCCCGTGGCCTCACGTCTGACCTCGCCGCTAAACACGCTGAGCTCTACGGCAAGAATGGTGAGCGCGTACACGCTGCGCTGATGCACACATTCTGACGTACGACAGAGCTGCCGGAGGAGCCTCCCACCCCGCTCTGGGAGCTGATCCTTGAACAGTTCAAGGACCAGCTCGTCCTCATCCTACTCGCCTCTGCCGTCATCTCTTTCATTTTGGCCCTCCTTGAGGACTCGGAAGGTGCGAGCTGGTGGAGCGCTTTTGTCGAGCCTCTCGTCATTCTGCTCATCCTCGTTGCGAATGCGACTGTGGGGGTCATCCAGGAAACGAATGCGGAGACGGCTATTGATGTGCGTTCATAATCACTCGTCTGTATTTCATTGCTCAATTCCGTCCAGGCATTGAAAGAATACTCTCCGGACGAGGCCAAGGTATTCCGCAATGGCCAAATCTCTCGCATACACGCGTCCGAGCTCGTGCCCGGAGACATCATCTCTGTCGCAGTGGGAGACAAGGTCCCTGCTGACTGCCGGCTGCTTTCCATCGCCTCTACCAATCTTCGTATTGACCAAGCCATCTTGACTGGTGAGAGCGTCAGTATTAACAAGACACTAGATGTTGTCGCAGACCCGCGTGCCGTAAAGCAGGACATGACCAACATGCTGTTCGCTGTATGTATTCTTCCTTGAACCTTTCGAGCTGGTATTGACTTCTTTCAGGGCACTAGCGTTGTGAGTGGCAAAGCTACAGCCGTCGTAGTCTTCACGGGACAGCGCACTGCCATCGGAGACATTCACAAGTCCATCACGTCTCAGATTAGCGAGAAGACACCGCTTAAGCGTAAACTCGACGATTTTGGCGATATGCTTGCAAAGGTCATCACTGTAATCTGTATTCTGGTGTGGATCGTCAACTTCCAGCATTTCTGGGACCCGGTTCATGGCAGCGCACTCAAAGGCGCAGTGTACTACTTCAAGATTGCGGTTGCACTAGCTGTCGCTGCTATTCCTGAGGGACTTGCGGCTGTCATCACTGCATGTCTTGCATTGGGTACTAAGAAGATGGCACAAAAGAATGCTATCGTCAGAAACTTGCCTAGTGTAGAGACACTGGGATGTACTAACGTCATTTGCTCTGACAAGACTGGTACACTTACGACCAACCAGATGAGCGTATCCAAGGTTCGTACTCATGCACTAAATAATTCATGCACTGAATACGCATTACTGACCTACTCTACAGTTCTTTGTCATCGATGGCGGTGTCGAGACACCCCGAGAATACGTGGTTGAAGGCACTACTTTCGCGCCTCACGGGTTGGTTAAGTCCGCTGATGGCAAGAATGCCTCTGCTGAACTTCGTTCAAAGCCAATCGAACTTATGGCCGAGATAAGCGCTATCTGCAACGATTCCAAAGTCGTGTATCATGCAGTAAGCAGGCAATTTGCGTTATAGATTCTGATTTTTCATTCTGATGATGTATCTTATGAAGGAGAAAGGCACCTACGCGAACGTAGGTGAACCAACCGAAGCGGCACTCAAGGTCCTTGCGGAGAAGCTTCCTTGCCCCGACGGTGAGCTCACGAAGTCACTTCCGCTACTAGACCCAGCCGTCCGTGCCAGTGCTGTCAACGAGTACTATGAACGGTCGATCCCCAGACTGATGACCTTCGAGTTTTCTCGCGACCGCAAGATGATGTCCGTGCTCGCACGCAAGAACGGCAGTGGTATCCTGTACGCGAAGGGCGCGCCAGAATCTATCCTCGAGCGATCTACTACCGTGATTGTCGATGGAAAAGTGCTGCCGCTCACGTCGGCCATGCGTACTGCAATCCAGCAACAGACGGCCTCTTACGGCGCACAGGGTCTGCGCACACTTGCACTTGCATACGCGGACGGTCGACCACTCGACGCATCACACTACCGTACCGATAACACAGCCGACTACGCGCATTTCGAGCGAGAACTGACTTTCGTCGCGCTCGTGGGTATGCTGGACCCGCCGCGCCCCGAGGTGCGTGCGGCGGTGGCGAACTGCAAGGCGGCAGGCATTCGTGTGATTTGTATTACGGGCGATAATAAGGGTACAGCGGAGACTATTTGCCGGCAGGTTGGAATCTTTGGCGAACATGAGGATTTGGCTGGGAAAAGCTACACCGGGCGCGAGTTGGATGAGCTGAGCGATGATGAGAAGCTGCGCGCGGTGATGAGGGCAAACCTGTTTTGTCGGACGGATCCAAGGCACAAGAGCGAGCTGGTTGACTTGTTGCAGAGCCAGGGTTTGGTAGTCGCCATGGTGAGTGTGCTCTTGCAGTTCAGCAAATCAAAAATTTACTGTGATCTTAGACTGGAGATGGTGTGAACGATGCGCCAGCGCTGAAGAAGGCCGACATTGGTGTCGCTATGGGCAGTGGAACGGATGTCGCGAAGCTGGCTGCAGACATGGTACTTGCTGATTCTAACTTTGCAACGATCGAATTGGCGGTGGAGGAGGGCAGATTGATTTACAACAATACGAAGCAATTCATTCGATACCTTAGTACGTATTCTCTGCTCTTCTGCCGCGATGGTCCACTGACGATGTCTGGTTCGCTAGTCTCATCTAATATTGGCGAAGTTGTCAGGTAGGCTGTTAGATCAAAATCTCCCCCTTGTCAGAGTTTGCTCATAATGTACGTGCATACAGCATTTTCCTGACGGTGCTTCTGGGCATGCCTGAAGCACTGATCCCAGTTCAGCTGCTCTGGGTCAACCTGGTTACTGATAGCCTGCCCGCCACTGCGCTTGGCTTCAACCCTCCGGACCACAGTATCATGCGGGTCCCGCCAAGAGATAGCCGTGAACGCCTCGTCGGCGCGTGGCTCTTCACGCGGTATATGATCATTGGAATCTATGTTGGATGCGCAACGGTTGCTGGCTACGCGTGGTGGTTCATGTACTACGCAGGTGGCCCGCAAATTTCGTTCTGGCAGCTGGTGTGTGCCCCACTGGAACCGCGAATGAACGGATCTGACATACTTGCTGTTCGTAGACACATTTCCATCAGTGCTCGTCGCTGTTCCCACAGGTTGGCTGTGAGATGTTCACCAACGAGATGGCCCACCGCGCAACGACGATGAGCCTGTCGATCTTGGTGACAGTGGAGATGTTCAACGCGATGAACTCGCTTTCTGAGAATGAAAGCCTACTCGCGCTTCCCGTGTGGAAGAACATGTTCCTCGTAGGTGCGATTGCCCTCAGCATGATACTCCATGTCGCCATCCTGTATATCCCGTTCTTCACCGTAAGTGTTGTTTTTTGCGTGTTGCTGATCTATTTTAACTTGACTATGCCCACAGACGCTATTTGCCATTACCCCTCTTAACTGGGTTGAATGGAAAGCCGTATTGTACTTTAGCGCACCAGTAATTGCCATAGATGAGGTCCTAAAATTCGTCTCGGTAAGTGCGTCAAACTCTTGTATCGTTACGTCGTTCACATTTGGCTATGAAGGCAAAGTTCGTCGCGCCACCATCAAAAATCAAGACGGACTAGACAGTACATAGATATATATCGCGGGGGTGTCGCTGATTTTGTAGTATATATGGGGGCAGAACCCGCTGAGAACCCGCAATACCAATAAGCATATACTCCGGCCCACCGTGGTCGCGGGGGTTCCATGGAATCGAATCGGGTGTATGAACGGATATGAGTGGTTTCCTCGCCTCAGTTCGTCTTCACGTTGACATGTGGAGGTTGGCTGGCAGTGAGTGAACCATGGAACTGGCGATGCGATGCGACACTGCAACGCTTTCGTTATCGAACACTTCTAGAAGAGCTAGCTATGCAAGTATCTCCAGTAAGGTCCCGAGGTCCATCCTGCCGGGCACGACATGGGCTTCGAGTGGTGAGACACCGCATGTACGTGGTATTAATTACCCTTTGCATCGGCCGGATGATAGACAATGTGAACGGAGCTGACATGCTTCTTCGGAGCGATCCCTATGTTCGTCAACGATCCCACAATCTCTTCACAAGCTGGCGGGCCATCCGTGGCCTGTTTGGGACCGTCTGAGACTGGTGTATTGATTTTCGAGACCCGGAGCTCACAGTGCAAGTTCCGTATCAGAAGTGGAGTATCGCTGTACCGACCTCTGACGCTAAAATCTGGAGTAAGATGGCATCAGCGAGCCCCGGGCCGTTGCGACACGTCCTTAGGGGCAAACTCACGGTAACGGACTCAGAGGAGCTTCGGGCATTGTGACACGCGTGGCTGGTGTTACGAGACGGGTTGGTGCAGTATCAAACCTGAGTGCTCAATGATGCCGTGATGATTGGCCAGTAAGTATGGAAGGAATTGAGTGGGGTGAAAAAGCCCGAGGGAGCGCGAGCGTCAGGTGTTGGTTACCGTGTCGACGTGGATAAAGACCCTGTGGATGCGGCCAGCTGTCAGGAAGTCCAGGAGGACGCGCCGCTAGAACACGAAGGTGAGGATTCCATGCAAGGAAGAGTCGATTTGTGGGCTTGTTGTCAGCGTATAGGTTCACGCGGAGCGGCCGCTGTAGCGCGTGTCGTAAGTGTTGTTGCGCTCACGATTGATTTTCCGGGCGTTCAGCACCGGAGTGGAAGTCGACACTAGTCAAGCGGCGTCGGTGTCCTGTTCGCGATGAGGCGAAGAACCCATGACATACTGTGGGCTTATGAAGGGTTGTCGTGACGTCCGACCCATCGGAGCCGTACGGACTGCTTGCGTTGATGGGTCAAGATTGACAAGATGCTTTCCATCATGATCGAAAAGGTAAGTAGTATGCAGGATGAAAGAAATTTTGTGCGTTAGCAACGAAGTATGTGCAACAATTGGACACACTAGCACCCCGACGGCTCATCCATTTTTGCAAGCACAACGAACCCAATTTCCTCTCGGTCGACTCGGGTGCTAGCCCTAGTTCGGAATTAATATGGTGGCAAATTTCAAGTTGGTCGAAATGAAGGAGAAACAAGGCTCCAACTGTGAGCTTCCCTTCACGGCTTCAAGCTTCACGCTTCAACATGTGGACGTCCACGTTGCAGCGCTTACCTATAATACTACATGCTAAGTTAGCGGCTAACCCCATACGTTACTTGCAAGTGCGATGCTACTTACGCTTCGGTCATTCCCCCTTTGCTGTAGTAGACCAAAAGATTCATGGGTGTCCGTAGCCTTCAGGAATACCAAAATTTTCATTGACAGTGGCGCAGCCGCTACTAGCAGTCGTAATGCCTCTACACCTCATGGAAATCGGTTTGGAGAATGCGCGCCCCACATCTCCGTACGACAAGATACCCGTTCGGCAAACTTTATATGTGCCCCGAATGCGGCTTGTAGTAGAGTACGAATCTGTGAAATGCACCTGCGGGCACTGTTTGAAGACGCTAGTGCTTGCTGCTTGCATGCAACCGGGAAGGAGAGGCCCATGAGTCAATAACCCGGCGATGAACCCATCGGGTCGCGAAAATCACACAGGACGAGTAGGTAGATGTTTCCAATCTGAACGTTTACACCGAGAAGAAACACGAAAGAAGCAAAGAGGGGAGGATCCCATTTATGGAAATCTCTGTTGGGGATATTCAACACTAGCAGGTCGCGTACGGCGAAGGGTCAGAGCAGGCTCTTCTTGGCTGGTCGAAGCGATCATGCAGATGTCCATTGTATATATCGAACTGGGCAGGATCCTTGACAGGGTGGACCATACTCGGTGCCACATACGGTATCGTAACGTTCATTGCCTCAGCGTTACTTTGGTTAGCCGAACGAGTGAATGGGCAGTTGGGATTTGCTTTCTTATCTGCTGGATCCTGTTCCGGCGATCGGTCGCGAGCAAGCCACTAGTGGTACATGCCAATGCGATCCGTGCACAATCGATCAGCTCACGCCAACAGCAATCGTACATATGCGCCCAGAAATCGCGCTCAACTGGAGTTACACACTGTGGACCGGGCCAACCTCGAATGAGTTCAGCCCCTCCCGCTTATGCGCGAACAGCAAGGACATCTCTCCGACAGCCGGTATGGATCAGTGGGACAATAGCTGTGAATGCCTCGCGGACCCTGTGCAAGCCACGAGCGGAGTCCTGTTGCGAATTGGATGACCATATGTAGATTGCTCGCATTGCATCCGGTCACGTATTCCAGTTCCAGCCTGTGCATGTAGCCGCCATACATCAATCTGGCGCGAACGACTGGCAAGCCCCGGAAGGTGCCGAGTCAGCGGCGCATGTAAGAGACGCTTGCCGCTGAATGGCGTTTGCAGCGCTGGTCTCCTCTGATCGGGAAATTCAAAGTCCTCGACTTGGAAGGATTCAATCACAAGCACTGTCCGATTGCACTTGGGGCGGCAGGCAATCTTGCCCCCCGGTCCCGAGTCGAAGAACGTCTCCATTCGCGCGGCATGTCGTCATTCCCCCTCGCGGCCATAAGCGTAATAAACGGTGCTGTACGGGGAGTGGTAACCGTGCGTACCGGCTGATTCAACTAGACTTCAGACCGATATCCAGCGAGCCCAGCTGCATGCACTCGCAATACCCGCCATATCCTCTGTCGAAATCATTCTCCTGGACGTAGTATTTTCGCTTTAGCGTGAAATGTGGATAGCCACTTCACCTGCTAGACAAACATCGTGCGCGTGGTTCGAACTCGGTGGTGTTTAACCGACCATTTGCATTGCCAGTGGCCGCAAGCACAAATGATTTCTAGTACCCACATTGCAATCCCTTCTTCTCTACATGCCGAATGTTATATACTACTCGATAACAGACCACATTAGAACGAGCGTGTGCGATGCCTGCAAGTCTCCCTTCGTACTGCGGCTCGAGTCTTTCCATCGATCCTTGCACCATCACAGAAGACGATAATCCCCGCCCCACACACGCAGTTGCACCACGCACGCGCCAAACTTCCATGATTCTACTCGAATCCTATACAACTGCGCGCACCCATCGGCATGCAACAGCACGAGCACCCTGACAAATCACCAAGCCATAGATAAGTGCGTAGGTAAACAGCTTCCGTGCACAGTAAAACCAGCTGAAGGGTACGGGTAGCAGGCTCTGTTCGTCCTTGTCCCACTCGCCATAAGCACGGACAATTCCCCCAGGGCCCACACTGCGCTCATCGCCGCGTCGTCGGCGCCTCTGCACCAGCATGCTCCTGCGGCGGTAGAGCGTCGAACCCGCTCTGGCCCAAGTCGGCAGGCAGCGCAGCAGTCTCATCCAGCACGTGTTCTGCGAGGAGCCCACGATTCTCTTCTACATCCTCAGAGGGGTCTACCGTAGGAACGCTTTCGGCTGCGGGTCGTAGGAAGAACGGCAGTGTGACAAGGTTATTGAAGAGGAACTATATCCAATGTCAGTCGCCGGATATCCGGACGCGAATAGTGAAGGGGCCCCCAAAATGGCTCACCGTTCCGTATCTACATCGAGGCGATCAGTGCATGACCTAGAGTAAATGCCACTTGTACTCACACCAGCAACCCAAACCCAAACACCTGGAGCACTGAGATCGGCCAAACGATCTTCTCCCACCCCAAGCCCAAGCTCACGATCCATATGCTCAGCGTCCGACACGTGTCTGTCAAACTCCGCACCGTCGCGCTAACATGTCGCGTCACGCTAAGCCCGAAGAAATTGAAAAGCGAGATGCTGATTGCGATGACCACTCCGCTCCAAAGCACCGCAGGCGTGTTGATCATCTGCGTCCACCCGCGCGGAAGGTCGAAGAAGGGTGAGATATACGAATAGTGGGCGAGAAGCGGCATCGCAAGCACGATCGTCAGTGCACCAAACAGGCCTTCCCAGCCGACGGCAACCAGCGGAGCGACGGAGTAGCGAGCCATGATCTTCTCTGCGAGCGCACATGTCGAACCAGATACCACGAGCACGGGATGGGCCAAGATCGCATGGACAGCAACGTATTCGTCAAGTGACTCATGATGTGAAGAAGGGACCAAATTTGCTTACCTTCCACGACGAACTGTGTCGCGGTGCTATATGTCCGCAACAGGTCGGTAAATCATAAGATGCAACATTAGCGCGCGGCACTAGTGAAAGGGAAGTGCATAAGCGAAGGAGAAAAGACGTACAACACTTGAGCAAAAAGGATAAAGAAGACACCTAGACATTCGTGTCAACACGCGGTCATTAAACACAGACGAAAAGTGGATCCGGAAGAGAAGTGTGAAGGGATACGGACCGACGAGGACCTTTGTGATCTCCGGCTCCTCAATAGGCTGTGGCGGCACATCCTCCATAAAGGCCGGGCTAGCTACGTCTGGTTCCCTGATAGCATCCTTGATCAGGGACCCGCTGTAGCCTACGAGTGAAACCCCCGCCATAACGGTAACAAGGGACATCCATCTTGAGAAAGAAGATTAGAATTTTTGAACGGCGGAGAGGACGAGAAGACACGTGTGGATATGCTTAATTGGGAACAATGGTGGGGAAACAGAAGGGATACTCAACTGATAAAGCCATAGCCGGCGGCGAAGGAAGACCACAGACAAGACGCCAACGAAGAGGACGAGAGCGCCACGAGTCATCTGATAGATCGAGACCGGAGTGTAAAGCAGGCCGACATTCATAAGCTGCGGGGCAGGAAATCACAGCCAAAGGCAATCGAAGATCAGGATGGGCATCCCGGGCATGAGTTGATGATCCAGAGCAGTGGCGAGATCAAAGTTGAGTTGAGCGTCCAGAAGAAAACTGTTTGGAAAGACATACCGTGGTACCAGTAAGATCGCAGGCTGCAGGGAACCAGAGGAGAAGAACCTTCCAGCCAGAAAGGTGCTGTACGGAGAGCTGAGCCTTTGCACCGTCGGCGGGCTCTTCCTCTGCATCAGGTGGGAGCTGGAGGGCGGGGCGAGCGCGCTTGGATGCGAGCCATGCGTAGATGACAGGAAGGAAGCCTTGGGGGAGGAAGATTAAGCAAGGCAAGATGGGGAGGCGTGAGAGGAAGAAGGACTAGAGGGGGGGCGAGTTGGTAATTGGGAAGAGTGACTTACAGAGCATTTCTCCGACTAGCACGGACAGTGACAGCGGGCGATGATCAGTGGATGTATGCGAAATATCTGGGCGCTGGACGCACGGAACATCTGGAGAGTCTGCCAGACAGGCTGCTCGTAGAGGACACGGTTTGCCGGAGCCGGGTCATTGCAGTTTTCGACGCATTGCATGTCCTGGAAGGGGATTAGCTGGGAATGGTGGGGTGATGGACGGGAGACAGACCTGCCACTTGCTCCAGAGAGAGTTACTGGAGCCCTAGAAGAGAAGAGAGGGTGAGCAGGACGGGGGAGGGGAGGGACGGACGGACGGTGATGAGCATGCCGGCGACGAGAACGGGGACATAGACCGAGGACGGCATGGTGGTGGGAGGAGAGAAGGGGGCGAGCGCGGTGCTGGCGACGCGGGGAGGCCGGATAAGGCAAGCGGGGCGATGGATCTGTGACCGTGACTGGGTGGGTGTGACGGGAGCGTCGGGGGGGG